AAGGAGATGATAAGTTACGATTGCCAATATCAACCAAATCGTCAACCTCTTCCATCCGTCAAGCTCTTTGCTCTTATGGGGGTCATCTCCCATAAGAGCAAATTCATTGCTACGGTCAACTGTAGTTATTCTTTGCTTCCAAACTCCCTCCCTACGTACAAGTTGTCATCTCTAACCCATATTTCGTCTTCCGTATCAATTTGTCCGTACGATGCCACATATCATCAAATATAGGTGTTGCATCATCGTCTACTATGTTTCTCGCCTCCTCCCAGCCTTCTAAGCCTTCAAAACCGTACACTATATCATACTCGGTGGTTGTAATATTTGCTAAAGCCTTTTTTTTCCCCTTTATCCATCATTCCACTAGATAGACCATCTTCACTAAAGCAACATGTTATAAACATATAATAACAGACCAAGCAAAAGTCAATCTACCATAGATCTATGGTATACATCATGAATCGATATGCTATATTGAATATTGAAGCATAAGTCGATTAAAGCACCGTAAATATGTCATGACTTTATTAAGCACGAATCGATCAATTATAAATCATGAGATTACTTACCTCGATCCAAAACGGAAACGGACGTCAGAGAAGGAGTAGAGATAAGAGATGGAAACCTTAGGAAAACGGAGACGATGCAGGCTTAGGCTTATTACTTCTAGCCGTAGCACTTAGATCGACACAGTCTTTCGAATTTCATTTCCATTCCCATTGGTCGAAGCCGGTTAATATGCGTTTGGTGGTTTCTGCATCAGGGTCTTCGATTTTCTCTTGTGATCATAAGCAAATTCTCTTAGCCTAATCACACAACAACACCAAGATTCTAAATCCAACCATTTTTCATATAATATTCTAAAACCAACTTAAACGCATCTTCTGCACCTTTACACTTGTTCTTATCATCAGCTAAAGGATCAACACCGAGAACTCCATACCAATCATCTTTTCGTTTTCCGTTCTTTGATGCAGAGATATAAACATTGATCATCATCAACCTTTGCTCCAAAGCGTCGAGCTTTTGATACAAATTATGAGCCTTGTCAACAAATTTCTACACTCTGGCGTAATCATTATCTGAAATTTTCTTCTCTGCAACATCAATTGCCCTTCTAGCCTCATCTTTATTACATTCCATCTTTTCTAATTTTTTGTTCTCTGGAAACGTTTTTAGTCACCTACAAAAATAGAGGAGCAAAAGAAAAAAGTTTAAAGGATGTTTCCATAGATTATTACACAGGTCACAAACAAATTTGGGAAAAATCATAAAGTTATCGACTTTGATGTTTACGATACTGGTTTTAACCAAATAATTAAAATTGGTTTATAAAGACGAATCTAGTTTGGGCGCTTGCGAAGAAAAAAATCAAAATTCGATATTAATAACCTTACACAATTCAGAAAGAAAAATCGTAGATTAAAATTGTCAGTGATCAGCAAGGAAAAATCACACACCTTTTAACAGTAATTTTTTGCTTGGCCTCTCTATCAACTTTTGCAACAAATCCTTGTACCAAAATTTTACCAGACCCGATTGACCAATTTGTATTTTTTTATATCTTTGATCCCTTTATACATGTCTCAAGAATAGAGATTCTCACAAAGTACAGTAGTATTGCAACCAAGCAGCTCCATACGAAGAAAATTTTATTTGTAGGATTTCTTTTGAGATCAATCAAAGTAACCATAATAAACATAGTAATCAGCTAACATCAATCACTCCAAACAAATTAATATAGAGAAGTACTAGTCGATGTTCTTCACAATCAACATAATCGTGGTGTACATACGACGCTCAATATCTTATACCATCCTCAAATCTCTCGAAGACGAACTTACTTTGTACGCAGGTTTTACAATTGCCAAGCCGTCTTCAAAGCATCAAATTCAAACAATTCATACATTCAGATTTAATCCATCCCGCTCTAATTAAAGCAAGATCAAACGTGCGATAGGATTTAGGATTTCAAGCCAAGAGCACAGTGTATATCCAATACGTAAACGATGATGAACCAAAAACTCATACCGCTAAAAAAATCCAGCGTAACCATGACCAAGTATTAGAATCGACAGCTTCACCAAACCAAAAAAAATTCATATCCAGACCTCTGCAAGTTTAAACGCCGCCTAGGTTATATCAAACCTTTCTTGTGACCGATCTTTATATTTATATATCGTAAATAAACAATGAAGAATGCACCTAGATTTAATATAAACTGATGGTTATACAAGAGCTAATATTAAAATCAAGCCCAAACCATATATATTATAATAATAAAAATTGATGGCACACAGAATAATTAAGCAATTTTATTAAGGGTATTTTCGGCAAAACAAATCTGAAACTCGCTCTCAATGCGATACTTAAGTAAATCGACTTCTCAAATATAAGTATAGATATATTAAAAAATAAAGAAAGTAATAGGTTGACAAAAAAGTTGACTAAAAATTATCTATTTTAACTTTGTAAAACAATACATAGAAAGAGAATGAACGAATCATTCATGTGTAAAACCACTTATTACTTTTGAAAGATATATAGAAGGTTAAATGAGAGGGGATGTAAAAAATTACTAGAAAAAGAAGAAATGCAAAGAAAAAACACTAATGCGTGTTCTGATCTCCCCTTTCTCCTCTCAAGACTAATTTCGCCATTAGTATTGAAAATACAAAGCATATTCTAGCTATGAAAAATAATGATATATATTTAATTATTAATTGTTTGTTGGCTGTCTTTGCTAATTCCCCATTTAAATTGTCAGAAAGCATTATGGACAATTATATTTTATTGGATCACTTGATCCCTCTCCCTTTCGCACGCACCCGCCCAGGCTTCTGATTCTGCAATAGCCTCAAAACATTTTTTTTTACCCATGCAAACATTTATTAACTATGTAAGTTGATCTGCCATGCAGCAGTACTTTTTTATTTATTTTCTTAACGTGATCCGACTGCAGTATCTTATTATCTTCATAAAATTAGATTTAAATGTAATCTAACACTACTAAAAACTTGCACGGGAACTTGCACTCTAAGCACATAAGTCCAATAATATTAGAACTTGAATGAAGTGCACAATAGTATTTAAATTTAGGTTCGATGGGGTCAAACTAATTATGATCCGCATTCCAAGTCATTGTATTTCCCAACACAAAATAAAATAAAATA